TGATAAAAAATTTAATTAAATAAACACCGATATCTGACATAAAAAATCGATGCATCGATGTAATGATAAGGAAAACATCGAACCAATTAATCGATTACTAAAAAGAAAACTATCGTTCATTTCGATTAATCGTAAAATATCGCCCATCCCTAACGTACACCCAATCAAAGACTGGCTGATGCCTTAAACCGTTCAGGTGGCATGGCGCCATAAGTGCAAAGAAGAAGAAGTATGATAAAACTAAAAGTTTGCTTATAACAGGAAAACACTGTAGTGTGTTTTATATTTGATTTTATTTTCATAATTACGTTTACAATATACAAAACCGTTGTTGTAATGAAAACAATTCAAGTTCAATTTTTTATGCAGATAAGCATACAATTTAAGTTTATTCTAAGTTCATTATATAATTTCCCACAGTAGTCATTAAACGAGTCTGCGCGTCCACAGACTCACAAAATAATAAATAGTAAACTACAAGATAAAATTTCTTGTAATTGCGTTTCTACAGTTGATATGACACCACATATCAATTGTTTACAATCAATTAGTAGATACTTAAAAGTGATTATTTTTTATCTGTTCTATAAATATTTGAATAAATTAATTATATTTTTCTTACGTTTTAACATCATAAGTTTACAAGTTCTCATATTAAAATAACTTAAGATGTTACAAAGTTTTGTAATAATTATAAATGCAGTTACAATTATTACAATTACACGTAAATGTGATATTCTTGTTTAATTACTTTTTTCAGGTACGATAATTACAGTTTCATTATAATTACTCAGATAATTGCACTATCAAGTACTACTTTTTATCGGGATATGAAACAAGTTTCGTTTTTAACTCATTTCTTTTATAATCTATGTCACATTAACGTCGTCTGAATACTCATTTACTCTTAGGCACATATCGTTTATGTTGTGTACTAAATGATGAATAAGTGTTAACATTAGGTCTTTGTGATTTAAAGTGTTTAATATCCTCCAAAGTTACAGTACAACCAGTTATATCCAACTCTACCAAGTTTGGTAATGTCAAAGCCATAATATTGATATCTGTTCTAGTAACATGCGAATAATGTCTGAAAAGAAATTAAAGCATCAGTATTTAAAATATTTTTGAGTATTGTTTTTTAGCTTTATGATTTACCTTATATGTAATATCTTCAAATTAGTACATCTACTTATATAGCGACTAATATTTGACAACAAATAGTTTGGAAACAAATTGTCCCTGCAAGCGATTATTTCTTCAACTCTGTTTTCGGCAAGAAGAGGCTAAAGCAAAAAAAGTTATATTATCATCCAGTGTGCGACAAGAAATTGATAATTTTTGTTAATACTGTTGTATAATACATGCAAGCATGTATGTTTGAGAGGCGAAAATAAAGAACACAAAAAAATTGGAAGACATACTTCTATTGTACATAAAAAGGTATGAAGTTCCTCATCAAACAGACACAAAGGCATGTATTCTTTGTAATAAAAGTTTTGTAACTCTTTTAATGATTCATTTGACAATTCTTTCCTTAAATATTTAGGACATTCTAGATACAGTTCTTTTAAAGATTCAACTTGATAAAACCATTCAACTATCTCATCCTCTACTACTGTGTTTTGAAAGTCTAGAATCTATAAAATAATTTTAAAAAACACGTTTCTAGAAAAGGGTGATTTCTACAGTAAAAATAGATGAAATGCAGAACTAGTACTTTTCTAATAATAAAATAAAAAATACCTCAAGCTTTTGGCAGTTACAAGGGATATTGATAAATAAATCTATGTCTGGATAAAAGTACTTTATACGAAAACATGAAATTACTTCAAGTTTCTGAAGTTCTGTAAGTGTACATATACTTGTCAAAAATGTTGATTGCAGATCCCACAGAACATTGTTAAAGATCAAATGCTAAAATTTATATTTTTAATACAGTATTGAGTAAAAATTTATATTTTTAATACAGTAAAAATTTATATTTTTAATACAGTATTGTGTGTGTCGTTAAACACAATATGTATGTATGATACAATATACTACATATATATAGATGTGTAAAATATGTGTAGGACAACAACTTACTTTTATGTAGGGTACGAACCTACATATTCCAGGGAAAAAAGGAGGCGAAAACAATTTGACATCACCAAAAGTACCACCAGCTACAATACAATTTTTAAATTCAAGGTTCTCAAGAGTTGTTGACGTCTCTAACGTATCCTAAACCAATTTTAATAAATTGCCATCGATTTGTAACAAAACTATGGAAAAGAAGTTTTACCAGAAAGATGTTTAATATGCTATACATATAGTGTACCCTGCATAGTAGTATCATAAAAATGTCATATGTACTTTGATAGCTATAAATTTTACAGACATATGTAATAATATATCACACGATTACTATTATTATTATCATACTAAACGTAAATAAACGGAACAAACTGTAATTACGTAAGTAATAATAGTTTGTGTAGTCCGTATTTTAAAGAAATTGGAAGGGCATTGTATAAAATTTTTTAGTGTACAATTTGTTTAAATTCTTTTGCTAAGAAATTGAAACCTAGCAAAACACTTTGTATACAGATATTGCTTACTATAAGATTACATTGAGGGTAATTGAGTGCGAATATTGTTGCGAACTAACGCATTTTATTTTACCATTAATAATATACTAAAACTTGAGGACAGTGACTAGAAACAAACCGCATAAGAAAAAAAATCGTATTATATTCTTTTCATAATTTATAATATAACTGTGTGTGTGTGTGTGCGTGTTTATTTGTGTATGTGTACATACTGTAAAATAGTAGGAATATTTTTGTCAAAACTAATATATACCTTAGTTATAAGAATATAATACTGTTCGATAATCAATGTGCGAAGTATTCGGCATATTTGTCGTAGTTTAAAAAAAAAATAAGGTGAAAGAATATTTCTATTGCCATGTTTGAAATCTCCACGTATTGCTAAGCTGTATGTTAATGGTTTTAAGAAGGTTTTATACGGCTTCATTTGAGACGGAAGAATAGTTTCTTTGCGATAGTCTAAAATCCATAAAAATTTATCTGCCGCTAGTCTTGCAAAGTTTGTGCAACATCTGAAACAAATAAATTTTAACAAAATGTATTTTTAACTATATAAAATAAAATACATTATTTTAACAAGAGGCGATTAATATTATTTCAAACGATTATATATAGTTAGGCGACCTGTCACACGAGCAGTACGTATACTAATACGCCTGTTTTTCTTAAAGATACAGTTACCAATAGCAATGTCATACTACTGTCGCTATCTACGCATTGTTTCGGATATTTATCTATTACTCGCTTTACCTAAATAAAAAAACTCACAATCGGAGATTATTTAAATCGTTTGGGGTTACATTTTTAAATATACATAAAAGAACTTCATCTGGGAAGTCAAGAATATTTTTTATTGTTTGTTGTTCTTTTGTCTTTTTGTTTCGTATCGGCACATCGTAGTCGTGCTGTTTTGTTTTATCAACTTCCACTTCAAGTTCTACTTTACTGTGGGATCTCTTTCTATCTTTGCCTTCGAAAGAAGTCAAAAGTTTGTCCGGATTCATTTTTTTTTAATTTTTGTATTCTTATATGAAAAACAATTAATACTGAAAAAAAGAAAAAGAGACAACTTTACATTTAAAAATTCGAATATCATTTTGTTTGTGATATGCTTACGTTTAGTACTACTAACGGCGATTGTGAAGAACTTGAAGTTCTGATATGTCATCGAAAGATGTATCACACGTGTATCTTGTCCTATAGCTGAACACAATGTCGTAAGTTCGACATATACACTTTTTTTTTTTAATTGTAACTGTTATTTCCGCAACTTCTTATTTCACCCTATTGTGTGCAATTTTAACACCTAGTTTTATTATCTTTGTTTATTCTGGTTGACACACTAGGTACGTCATACTGATTTTGCAAGTGTGCCAATTCTTTACTGGCTTCTCTCACGAAAAGTACTAGCTAAGTATTCGTAGTACTAAAGGTTGCGTTCGAGGAGCGCTAGTAGCGCTATTGTATTATTCTATCTTTATTGCTCATTAGATGTAAATCAAAGATAGAATGATGCAAAAGCGCTGATAGCGTGCTCTCCGAACGCAGTCTAAATGTAGTAAAACTTTTTTAAATTGCAAAGGTGTACTCTGGCGATTTGACTATAGAAATATAGACTAATAGTAGCTAACTCGGGAGTAAGCTGCGTTTACGAGATATTTAGATTTTTTACTTGGTTACTTTTGGTTTAGTGTTTTTATGGTTTAGTGGATTTGTTAGGCTAATTCATACATCATTCAAAGATAATTAAAAAAGACCTTCTCGGCCTTCGAGACTACACCCTATAAGCGCACAATATTCTTAGAATATTCTATGAATATTATTACAAAATAAAATAATAATCATGTGATATTCCGAGACTATTATGTTATATTTTTTAATATCATAGGAATATTCTGTCGATGTTATATGTCCACTTCAAATAATATTCCCTGGAATA